GGTACCATTTGAAGTTGTACCACAACATAAATGTCAATTCTCTTATGGTACAACTTCAATTTGTACATTTAACATTATGGTACAACTTCAAGTTATACTTTAAAGCACCAATACTTTAAAGCATAGTAGAAGTGCTCCTCGTCCTTTTATGCCTGTTCTTCCCCTATCATGGGGTTATTCCTTAGACCATCTACAATGGGAGGGCTAAAGTGCCAATTTTTGGCACTTTTGGGTTGCAATAGTGAGTGCTAAAGAGTGATAGTGTGGAATTTTAGGAGTTTGGGGGGCCAAATTTGGCTAACAAACAGACAAAGAGAGCTAAAACGCAAAGAAAACTCGCAGGGGGGAGCAAAAGGGCAAAACGTGCGGAATGGAAGGGGCCAGCGGGCGTGTACTTCTCACGGCGCGTCCACACCCCTTTTTTAATAACCAAATTGCAGATTAGTGCCCCTTGAAAAACTTCTCCACCAGCCACCAATTTTTCCTCAACGGCTATTTGTCCTCCAACAGCTATATTTTTCAAATTTTCTCTATAAATACCACCACATACTTCACTTCTATTTACACCACAACTACATTTTCCTCTCCCTCTAATCAAATATCAATCTCTCACTACATTTCTCTTCCTCTTTACATTTCTCTTCCTCTCCAACTTCTTATCATGGCTACTCGTCAACCCAATTGGATTGATGATGAAGATAAGAAATTAGCTATATATACTTTGGATTCAAATCTCGGAAGATGGTGCGGTCGGTCGTTATCAACCTAATCTAATGTTTATTCTCGAATTACAACCACATTCAACAATGAAGGCACGAGAATTTATCGTTCCGAAAGTGGGGTGAACACAAGATGGAAGAAGATTAGCCGTTATTGTACGGTGTGGAATGGAGTGTTGAAGAGAGCAAATGCATCACCAATGATCGGATCCAATCAAAGCGACGTGGTAAGTAAAATTATTATATTTATTATGTTTGTGCTAAACTTTTTATTTAATCAAGTTTATATTTACTTACATTTTTTTTTGAACTACTTGTCTAGCTTGTTCATGCTCATGCTCTTTTTAGAGCTCAAACCAAAATAGATTCGAGTTCGCATCATGTTGGGAAATACTCGAAAAGTGTCCAAAATACATGAAACAATTCCATGCCCCTGTACAATACATTCCACCAATGGATGGATCTTCATCATCCATGCCATCTGGAGTTGAAGCAAGTGGTCATCCTTATGTGATCCGTCGTCCCGATGGTCGAGATAAGCAAAAGAAGAACAAAAGAGGAGGTGCGGATGAAAATTCTACAATGGAGGCTTTCCAAAAGACTATGGAGGATATGAGTTATGACGGCAAGTAATGCAAGACATGATGCAATTGCTGAGTTGAGGGAGGCACGCGAAAAGGCAAGGGAGGAACGCGAGAAGGCGAAGGAAGTAATGGAAAATATTATGCACGAGGAGAAGATAATGAATATGGACTTGTCTCAAATGAGTGCTCAAAATAGAGCATGGTAGCAAAGGCATAAGGATGACATTATGGCCTATTACCAAGAGTATCCAACTTCAAGCCAGGGGACGACTCATATAGCCCCATTCCTTGACACTTGAGAGTCTTTGGGTTTATGTATGTTATACTGTTTAATGTTTAAGTACTTTGAATTGTTGGTTTGATGTATGCTTCATTTTGGTGTGTATTTTGAAATTATTAATGGAACTACTTTATTTATTAGAGCATTGCACAAGGTACTCAAAAGACAAAAAAAAATACAATAAAGAAAATACTCAAAGGATAAAAACTAAATTTGAAACGCAACATAAAAAGACATTAAAGCACATCAATTAAACTTCAGACACAACGTATTCCTACTCTCCTCCGTCTTCTTTTGCCCACAGATGCTCAAACAAATCATCTCTCAATGAGTGATGTCCTTGACAATCACGAATTCTGCCATGACTTGCCATGTAAGACATTAGTGTCGGCATATCATGATCCGGTGGATCCACTATGAAATCTGAATGAGTATCGTATTGACCCATCATAGCCAGTGCCTCTTCCCCATTGTTTCGTTGGTTTTCCACTATCATGTTGTGCAGAATAATACATGTTAGCATAATTTCTCCCATTGTCTACACATCCCACACACGACTTGATCCTTTGACAATAGCCCATCTTTCTTGAAGTATGTCAAAGGCTCTCTCAACATATTTGCGGTATGCCTCTTGACATTTTGCAAACAACTTCTTCTTTTGGTTATTGGGGGCAGTAATAGTCTTCACAAATGTAGCTCATTCTGGATAAATCCCGTCAGCTAAGTAATAACATTGATCGTAACTGTGATCATTAAATTTATACTTAACTTTTGGGAGTTGTCCATTGACTGCTCTATCGAAAAGTGGGGATACTCCAAGAGTGCTTATGTCGTTGTGTGATCCAGGATTTTCGAAGAAGGCATGCCAAATCCATGTGTCATATGAAGACACAGCTTCAAGGACAATGGTTGGTTTACCCTTGTATCCAGTATATTGACCCGCCCATCCAGCTGGACAATTTTTCCACTCCTAGTGCATGCAGTTAATGGAGCCAATCATACTCGGTAAGCCACACCAATTACTGTGGTGAAGAAGGCGGCGAAGAAGTTCCTCATTTGGTGCTCGTAAGTACTCATGGTTGTAGATGTTGATGATGGATGAACAAGTTTTCCTCAAGCACTCTTGTGTGGTGGTCTGGGCCATTCAATAATACTCATCTAGGGATTCAGCCGAACATCCATAAGCAAGCATCCGCAAGGAACTAGTAAGCTTCTAATGTGGTGAAAATGAGGAATGACCTACATCATCGTAGCTCCAATTGAAGTAGGAGTTGTGTAGAACAACATCTTTCATGATTCGGTTGAATAAGGAAGGAGGCATCCGATATCGCCTTCTGAACAACCTAGCATCGTAGGTTGGACTTGGGTTGAAATAATCTTGCATTAAACGGATGTGTGCTTCTTCCTTATCACGAAACACAGTGTTCGTGAGAATGAACAATGGCCAGAGGATGATGCCTCATGGTGGAGTATCTTACCTCCATACATCATCCTCACTTGTTGACGTTGACGATGTCGTCGACCCTCCTCTTTCCATTCCATGTCATCAGCTTTTCTACCAGGGGAACTCATGTTATAGAAGGAGTTGGTGTGTAGAAAGAAGTGGAAAGTTGAGATAATGTGAAGAAGGTTAAATGGTGAATGACCAAGTGAAGCCTTCATTTATAGGAACATGAAAAGATTCCTTCTGCAACAATGTGATTAAAGTTGGATGATTAAAGCTGGATGCATAGTTGATGGAACAACTCAGTCATGTTTAAAGTTTGATGAACAGTTGATGACACAATTCACTCTGATTAAAGTTGGATGAACGATTGATGGAACAAGATATTATGTTTAAAGTTGGATGAATAGTTGATCGCACAACTCATTCTGATGAACATGTGATAAATCTGTGGTCATTGGCACCAACCATTGTATTTTCGTCATTAATGACATCATATTTATCATCGGAAAAAATATATCAAAATTAAAAACAAATTACGCCAAAATGTTCGTTTTAATTAATTATGACTAACTATATAAAAACAATTGTATAATTATATAAATAAAGCAATGAAATGTATAATAAACTAACTAATAAAAAAATCACAAATATAGCACTTTGGCATTTGGCTCTACTCCATTGGAGCAAAAGCACTTTATTGAGTGCCAAATTTAGCATTTTGGCTCTAATTTTAGCACTTCATTGTAGATGGTGTTAGGTCATCTCCAATAAGGGGTCATAATTCAAAAGTCTAGCGTAAGGGGAGACTTAGCCAAAATGACCCCATTTAATTGTGTATTATGTGTTTCCTTCCTTTTTTAGATTATGTTATGCTACAACATAATATAAAGACGAACAATAGAGAGTAGAGTAAAAAAGTAATTTGAGATTAAAAGGGTTATTGTTGGACAATAAAATTAAGATTCGTCTAACTTTGCTAATTTTTCAACAAACATTTATTTTCTTCGTTGACGATGTCATGTTTAATAATTATTTTTTGGCCAAATTAAAAAATAAATTACATCAAAATATTCGTCTTAATTAATTATTACTATCTATATAAAAATAATCTACACGCTATCTAATTAAAACTATGAAATTGAAACTAAACTAAATAATCACGAAAAAGAGCAAATTTGACACATTAGAACTCTAGCACTCCTTATTGGAGCAAAACCCACTTTTGATAATTGAAATGTCAAATCATTCTAGCACTTTAGCTCCACCTTATTTGGAGATTATCTTAGGTGCTTTGGGCAAGAACCCTACATAATGTAGGGCTTTGTGGTATGTAATGAATGCGTTTGTTGAATTCCTGGTGATTATGTCTATTTGATTGAATTTATGGCTATTATATGCATTTGTATATGGTGATATGGTGTTTAACCAATGAAAGTGATCGTACAGTTGGGTCAAGTCTAGACCTAAAACCAAGTAGAATAGTTGGGTGTCTAAATGAGTCTTGATTTACATAGCTATGTGATTGATGGGATTGTCCCTAATTCAAGAAGTGTGCTTAAATTCTTGCTATGGTGGTCAATTACATGACCATTGAGTTGATAACCATAGCTAGAAGAGAAATTGGATGCATGACCATTGTCCAATTGCCTCATTAGACATTCTTGCACTACAGACACTAGGAACAATACAAATGGATGTCAAGATTATCACATTCCCACAAGCTATGTTAAGGGCAAATAACTCCAATTACTCTCTCTCTCTCTAGACTTCAATTGATTTGCAATTTTAGAGTGCTTAGCTTAAACATCATTAATTGATCTACTAGATAATGGTTAATTCGATAGTAGTAGCATTTTCACCCATTCTCTAGGAAATACGACATAGGAAGGGTCTCCTCCACTGTACTCTTTTCTCAATCTAGGATATAATTGACCTATATTGGAGTTGCTAGAATAAGGTATCAACCAAGACTTCTATTACTTGGTGCGTTTGTAACGAGTCACATGTCCTGCAAAACATGGGTCCCCTCATACAACGTCGTACAAAGTCAAAGCTGAAAGAGGGTACATAAATCTAATTTTCTAGCTCGATCAAAGGTCTGCCAAACTCCAAATCTTTAAAATCGAACTCCAGCGATTCAAGCACGAGCTTCAGTTTACATTAGTCAATTACGACAGAAACTAAGGAGATGACGCTTGGGATATTGCGTTCTTGGCAATAGCATAAACAGTTTCCAAATATAGAAGAACAGTAAAGGAAAACACAAATACAGAATGCACCCCATTTCCCGCACGCAGAGAGTCAACCTATGAAGGCTACTCGCGCGACAGTAACAAACAAGTACTGTCCTTCCGATGCTTCACATGTAGAGTCCTTCAGGCACCCCTTCTTTCTTCTTGTACATCACCTTTTCTTTCGCCTTCTTGAAGTCGGTATGCGTCACCTACACACACACACACACAACAATTCGCAGTTTAGAATGACAACTGCGTACGTATAGCCCTCCCTCGTAACAACGGAAACTGCCTGCCACTGCCAGCCCTTACCTTCATACGACGCTCCCGTAAGGCAAGCAAACCAGCTTCCGTACAGATCGCCTTTATGTCAGCTCCCGAGAACTCATCCTTTGTCATGACAAACTCTTCCAAGTTCACATCATCAGCCAATGTCATTCTTGATGTGTGTATCTGCAGTCGGCAAAGTTACACATGAGGTTTCTATACACACTAGGTCACAAGTCAACAAAGTTCAATTAGTATTCAGAATGGTATGATGTGGTATGGAAGCAGCAAATTCACTTACCAGGAAAATACGCCTCCTTGTTTTGATATCAGGGAGCGGGAATTCAATTTTCCTATCTATTCGACCAGGCCGGAGCAGAGCAGGGTCGAGACTTTCGATCCGGTTGGTTGCAAGAATTACTTTGACGTCTGCTCTTGAATCAAAACCATCTAACTGATTCAGCAACTCCAACATGGTCCTCTGAATCTCACGTTCACCACCTGAGTTGGCATCATACCTACAGAAGTATTTGACCTGGTTACGAATTCCTTTTAATTTTTGGGTTCCTAGAAAGTAAAGGCAACATTCTCAAATCTCACCTTTTTGTACCAACTGCATCGATTTCATCAATAAAGACAATTGATGGAGAGAGATCATCTGCCACTCTGAAGAGTTCCCTCACCAACTTTGGTCCATCTCCCAAGTACTTCTGGATCAGTTCACTGCCGACTACCCTCAAGAAGGTTGCTGATGTTGAATTTGCAACTGCCTGGAAAAGGAAAAACAAAGAGGGCAGCAAGCTTGTTGGAATTGATAATTCAAACAAGAAGCAGATTGCAGCAGTACAAAAAAGAATTGAAACCGAGGACTGAATTTCAGGCCCAGCATTTGCTATTGACAAGAAAAATATGCCTCTTTTAAAGGAGTAACACAGTAAATATGTCATGTTTCCTTATTTCCTTGAAGCTAATAAACAAACCACCCTTCAAAATGGAGAAGGATCTAACTGGAGAACATATTAGTTCAGAGCACGGAGGAACAGTAAATAACGTTCTTTTTACTAGTTAGTTATCAGACACAGAATACAAACGTCAAATGTAAAGAAAGATTAGGTTCACACCTTCGCTAGCAAGGTCTTCCCGGTCCCAGGCTCTCCGTACAATATGACACCCTTTGGTGGTTTGATGCCAATATCTTCATATAGTTCAGGATGAGTCAAGGGAAGCTCAACTGCTTCTTTTATCTCCTGTATCTGAGCATCTAAACCACCAATATCCGCGTACGATTCCAGCGGAGCCTTCTCTACTTTCATTACGGACACCATTGGATCAACTTCATCTTGAAGAAGACCAACCACAGAGAGAACCTATCAATAAGCCATAACATCATAAAGTGAAAGGAGAAAACCTCTTGTTCCCTGAGCTAACATACATAAACTGACACATTAGTTGCAGAAGAATCAGAGAGCACTATCATTTCAATTCAACAGCAGTCGAGGAAGCATCAAGTATAGTGGTTTCGAGAAACAATCGCGATTCAGTTCAATTTCATTCATCACCCTGCTGTAAGAACAGTAGCATTCACTATAGGACTTCAAATTGTATAAGACTTCCCAGCCACTAAAGCACAATTTGAACTAATTAATAGCAATCAACCATTTCTAGCAACCTCTCCAAAGGTCAGTAAGTGACAGAAGCTCAAAAATCCCCAGAGTCGAATCAAAATCAATGCCCAAACACTAACAAAGACGAAATCATCAGCAGCATTTTTATTTCCTAAAAGTTCAAAATGTTCACATCCCACGGAGATCTCTCAGCTGCGGAAATCGGAATTCTCATTACCTTATTATGCATCAAGATAGAGCACCCAGGCTCCAGCTGATCCTTGTCAACAAAGGACAAAATCCCCACATAGTACTCCGGGCCAACCGAGGAGGAAACGATGGCGTGATTCTCGTCAATCAATTCCTCCAAGTTCCCCACGCTCATGGGGGAGCCCCTCAAGTCGTCGACCTTCGATCGGTCCTCCTCGGCCTTCTCCTCCTGAGGCTTCAATCTCTCTTGGTTGGCTACGAACTCCTCCTCCATCAACAGATAATCTTTCACGCGCTCCAACTTCAGCAATCTCAGCTTGCACTTTGTTACGGGGGTAACGGTGGGCAGGCGGGCAGCAGCCTCCGAACCTTTCTGCTTTCTCTGCTTCCGTCCAACGCGCGACGGTGGAGCGGCAGGCTCAAATTTCTTCTCCTTCTTGTCTCCGCCGTCTTGTTTCCGGTCTCCAGGTGAGCCCTGCCGGTTCATTCCGCTGGACGGCCCCTGACCCATTGCTTCTTCGTAGAGGGAGAGAGAGAGACGGAGAGAGAGGGAGAGGGGAAAGTGTTTGCTCTGAGTTTTGGCTTTGAGAACAAGTTAAGCTTATTCTCATCAGATGAATTGAAATATATAAATCCGAGGAGAAACGGTGTAATGGGCGGAGACTCTACTAGCCCATAAAAGCTCAACACCAACCTCGACTTCTTCAAAAGCCCATTCACATGGTAGCGGATCTGATCGTTACTGATACGGAGCGTGTATAACAGTTTTCTAATTTTATTTAACTGGCTATATAGTTTTTTTTTTTCAATAGCTCACTTGCCGGAGGAGTTACCGTGCTAATAGTACAAGAGTTAGCACCGTCCTAACCAAGGGTTAGTAGTGATTTAGCTTAGATGTTGTATTGATTTTATAATAATCCGTAGTGATTTCGTTGTTTTTAGTAGCGTTTTTTGCTAGTTATCACGGTGCTAGTGCTAACCCCTATAAGGATTAGCACCTAATCCCATCCCCTCACTTGCATTACCAAAAAAAGATACAGAATGTATAGTACAAGTTTTGGTCAAACACGAAAATCAAAACTCGACAAAAGCATAGGACACAAAAAAAGAGTTCTTTTAGCCAAACCACAAAACAACACACTCGATTCCCGACCTCCCCCTGCAACTCGTCCAACCAATGTACCAGCACCCTTGGTAGCGAGGCAGGTTAGCCAAGATCAACCCATTCCTGCAGATGATACGAAAACTATCTCATAAGCACAGAACCAGTGTATTGAATACCCTCGAAAACTGCCCAATTTCTTGATTTCCAGATTAGCCAAAGTAAAAATATTAGCTGCGTAACACGAGTAGCAGAATCATTTCGTTCAATCCACCTTCCGAAGAACAACGTGAAGTTAAATTAATTTCCGATAATCCTTGTCGAGTAACCAAAAGGCCAAACTCTCGCCATAGATCTTCCGCGACCCGACAGTGAAGGTGAGGAGCATATGCCCCAATGTTTCATCAGAATCCCTACATACTAGACAACGAGCTTAAAACGCTACACCCTTACTTGTGCAGTCCTTCAATAGCCAGAGGATTCTTCGCATAATCTTCCATAGAAAATACTTCAGGTTTAGCGCTATTGGAAAATCCCAAGCTTTCTTCCAAAATGACATGCCAAACCAAGGTACATCGTCCTTCCACCCTCCCAACTACCTATTGATTCTCACCACTAGATGATATCCTGATTTCATGGAGTATGTCCCATCGGCTACTTTTGTCCAAACCAGTTGATCCGCACTCGGCTCGCACGGTAACGTAATCTGCAATACTCTGCTAACAGTAGCCGGTGGAAAGCAATAATGTAGACAGTCCACACACCAAGACCCATTTTTCGTATCAATAAGCGTTTCTACCTTCTGGTTTGGTTGCAGAGTTGTTGTGGCAAAAAAGTTATTGGAGCACAAGTCACTTGGGATCCTCACAAAAGCGAACCTTGTCCCCTGATCCAATTTTCCATTTTAAACCACCAACAAGGAGAGACCGCCCACGCAAGATACTCTGCCACCCCCATGATGGATGAGATCTGCTAGTAGTTTCAAGAAAAAAAGTATGCGAGAAATATTTACCTTTCAACACTCGGGCCAGCAGATAGTCAGGATAAAACAACAGCCGCCAACCAATCTTAGCGAGTAATGCCTGATTAACCATCTCAAAACTCCAAAAACCCAACCCATCATCGAATTTACTACGACATAAGTTCCTCCAGGAAACCCATTTGATTCGTCTTATATTTTCCTAGCCTCCCATCAGAACCTTGCCATATGCCTATCAAGTTTTCTATAAACTATAACAGGTAGCAGAAAACAGGCCATCACGTACAATGGTAAAGCCACTGTTACTTACTTTAACAATGTTTCTTTGGGCGCCCAGGATAAATGTCATTGTTTCTAGCCTTGCAACCTGCTCAAAAGTCTTTCCTCAACAAAACAAAAAGTTTCCATTTTCGATCGATGGAGTAAAGAAGGCAGTCCCAGATATTTATCATGTATACCTATGACATCGTCTCCAAGGGTCGCAACCATTGCCTGCACATCCTGCTTAAGGGCATTCATACTATAATAAACCGCAGACTTAGTGAGGTTGCCTTTCTACCCACTGAGAAGTTGATACTCCAAGAGAATGTCTACCAATGTGTCACACTCCTGTTGTGAATATTTAAGGAACAAATATGGATAATTGGCAAAAAAAATAGATGGAATATACTCGGGCATCGTGGGTTAACATGAATGCCAAATAATCTTCATCGATCAATAGAATGGCGAAGTATTGCAACAAACCCTTCAGTACACACTGCAAAAAGCATAGAAGACAGGGGGTCACCTTGGCGGAGACCACGAGAGAACCTAAAATAGCCCGATGGTTTGCCATTCATCATCATAGAGAACGTGGAAGTGGATATTAGTTCCCTCACCCAACCAATGCATTGCTTATTAAATCCCAACTTTAACAGGATAGCAAACAAGAACGACCACTCTACTCTATTATAGGCCTTCTCCATATCAACCTTAAGAGCCATGTAGTCTTTCTTCCCTTGCTCTTGTTCTTGAGGTAATGCATAATCTCGCGACTAATCAACACATTATCTTCAATTTGACGATCTCGAACGAATCCATTTTGCTCTGTTGAGATAATATTCAGAAAATGACTTGCCATTCGTTCTTTAAAAATCTTAGAAATAATTTTATAAAAAACCTGACAAAGACTGATTGGGGGAATTTGCCTCATCGTTTATGGAACATCCACTTTGGGAATGAGAGTCAACCAAGTGTGATTGAAACTTTTCAACAAACGGTCAGACACAAAGAAAGATATGACAAATTTCGTGATTGAAGTACCAATGATATCCCAATATGTCTGATTAAATTTGCTGGTAAACCCATCGGACCCTAGGGATTGGGTCGGACAAATGGAGGGTGGCCTTTCGGAAGGGATGCAATGCGTGCCTCCAAGTTCTGAACCGAAGCTTATGAGCGAAACAGGTCCTCGTAAAAGCGCACTGCAAGGTCTGATTTTTCCAATTCTCTATAGAGGGGCTGACCAGACTCATCCCACAGACTCTCTATAGTATTCTTTATCCGCCTAGTCCGGGTCATAGCATGGAATTAAGCCATGTTTCTATCACCTTTTGTCGACCTTCATACCCTCGACTTTTGACTCCAATAAAGCTCCTCTGCAGCCAATTGCCTTGCAAGCTCCTACTCCATTTTATTGATTTTCTCCCAATCTATTGTATCGGTCCTCTTCAAAGCTTCAATCTCATCCTGCAAGGCACGAATATTCCTGGCGGAGTTATTCACCCCAACTCGACTCCAATAATATAGGAAATGACAAAGTTTCTTTAACCGGGACCATAACTGAAACATCGGTGATCCTGTCATTTCTTTTTTCCAAACATAGCTAACCATCAATCGAACCTTAGGATTACACGCCCATCTAGCATCAAATTGAACTACCAGGAGGGCACGGTGATCTGACCCGAAGCCAGTACAGTGTTGAATAAAGGACTGGGGGATTTTTCCAGCCAAGACTGAGAGACCAAAACTCGATCCAGTCTCTCTTTAATACAGGTCGTCCCCAATCTTCTATTAGACCAAGTGTAAGGATTTCCTCAAAAACTCAAGTCTTGTCGTTCCAATAAATCCATGGAATCAAGAAGGACATATGATGACGTTGGACTCCAAGGAAGTACACCATCTTTCTCTGTAGAAGTAAGGGTACAGTTCATATCACCTATCAACGCAAAAGGAAAAGAAAGACCATTACATATCAAATTCACAACCTCAAGCTACTAAGCATGGACTGCAACATTACTATCCAAATACACACACAACCACATAATATCAATGGCCAATTCATTATTCCAAAACGGACAGTGACATAAAAACTAGAACTATGTAACAATGTTACATCCAATCCAAGGACCCAACCTATAGCCAACCCCCTGAAGAATTAACAACATCGACTAAGAAATAGGAATAAAACCTAAACCCCGCATACGCCGGAAAACTACTCTCCTACACGATCTTGTCTCGGAAAAGAAAACAAAATCTAGATTATCAGACCTACAAAGACCTAAGATATACTTGGAATTTATTTTTTAAAAATATAAATTTCCATATTCAAAATTACATTTACTTTTATGGTTCAGGCTAGCGTACGCCCGGGCGTACGCTAACCTAGCGTACGCCACATTGAGTTTTGCTATATAAATCATGAATTAATCGGAGTTTGGGGCATGATACTATACCCAAACCACTAATGGGTGAACCCCAGTCCCTAATTTTCTAACCCAAACCATGAGGTTCGTTTAATCTTAAAATGAAAACCAATGAAAATTTCGACGAATCAGAATCGTTGATTTTCATTTTTAAGATTAAACGAATCTCATGCTTTGGGTTAGTGAATTGGTGACTGGGATTCACCCATTAGGGGTTAGGGTATAGTATCATGTCCCAAACTCCGATTAATTCTTTGTATAAATAGCAAAACTCAATAGGCGTACGGTAGGCTAGCGTACGCCCGGACGTACGCTAGCCTTTGCCTTACTTTTATATGTTTTGGAACAAAAAAAAATTGGCACATATATTATCAGTCTATACCAAAATTCAAGAAGGTGATAGGAGTAAGACAGACATTGTGGTCTTGTCTAGCTCTTAGGTCGCCTGGGCGTTGTCTAAGGGTGCCTATACTTTTGAATCAAAAATAGCCTTTTGTATGATATGATGAATGAAATAGTTGTTTTACGAACTTCTACTTCACTTCAAATGATTAATACTTATTTAATACTTAACAATAAGAAAAAGGGATAATTCTACTAGGAAACCCAAAGTATTAAAAACGTGTCATTTGTGTTCTAAACTATTCAATATGAAAAATCTTGCACAAACTATTTTTTCGTTAATGTTTACCGGCGTTTACCATTTGTATTTAACAAAAATTCTAGTCAACATCTATGTGGTTTGTGCAAGATTTGTCATGTTGAATGGTTTAGGACACAAATGTCATGAAATGCATATAGTTTGTGCCAGATTTGTCATATTGAATAGTTTAGTACACAAATAACACTTTTAAGATAGTTTGGGCTTCCTAGTGGAATTAGCCCTAAAAAAATGGCACAATAGTTCATAAAATCATAGGTCAACAGTGCTCAAAATTCTTGAGCTATTGAAACAATTGAGATTGTAGATGATGTTACTTTCTCCCTTTTTATTTTGGCTGTCTAGCTCCGCCTAGTTACACCTAAGCGACACCTAGGTGTGGTTGAAATGTCCGGCCGCGTTCGAAATTTCTAATCTATTGCGAAACCTCTAGACGAGGCATTTTAGCTTTGTCTAGCGTCTTGGCATAAGGTTTAGCGTGCATTTTTGAACTATGGTCTATACCACGACGGTAGTGTTTGCTAGTGTATAATTTCAAAACTGTTGTCAAAATTGTGTTCCTTTTTTATGAATCTCAAAACTATATCTTTCACTCAATTATGTAAGAAGTTTAGTGTTAATCTCAGCTTTTGATGGGTTCTAGGATACAACATCCATTAGAAAGTTTGGATCATAAACTGATTCAATCATGAATTTTGGATTGACTCCTCTTTTTGTTGTTAACTTCCATTGTTCTTGGGGAAGTTTGGATTCACAGGCTCCTCTTTTTGTTTTCTCCATTCTTTTGCTACAGAACTGTTGTTAACTTCCATAGTTTGCTCAAGAGGAATGTCACATTGTATGTTGTAGGTTTTGTTAGAACTCGAACCAACAAGCTTATTGATGGAGCTGGGTTTTCATGCAGCAAGTTCACTGTTACATAAATCAATAGAAGAGTATTTGGCTCACTAACACCGCTAGAAATGCATGCATCAACTGTATCATAGGCAAGATGTTTACTGTGGAGATTGATATTTCGGTTTTTGAGGCGAGTGCCATATGGTATCAACTTGCCTTTCTCATCTTGACGTTTAAAACCATGTTTGTCCCTTTATGATGTCAAAGATCTTGCTTTGTTGGGGTTGTAAATCCAGAACATATTTTGCTTCAATTCTCTGCATGTACTATGTTTATGTACACTTTGCGTTGTATAGCTATTCGTAAAGACAAGTAGAATGATTGGTGATTAGTGTTTCTTGACAATGCATATGCTTTTTACTTTTGTTTTCATATTGCAGACCCAGAACATATTTTGCTTCAATTCTCTGCATGTACTATGTTTATGTACACTTTGCGTTGTATAGCTATTCGTAAAGACATGTAGAATGATTGGCGATTAGTGTTTCTTGACAATGCATATGCTTTTTGCTTTTGTTTACATAATGCAGACAAACATATTTTGCTTCAATTCTCTGCATGTACTATGTTTATGTACACTTTGCGTTGTATAGCTATTCGTAAAGACATGTAGAATGATTGGCGATTAGTGTTTCTTGACAATGCATATGCTTTTTACTTTTGTTTTCAGAATGCAGACATCATGTTGGTTAGGAGGGTAAAATACCTCGGGTACCACTTAAGTTTGAGAATTGGGGTAGCCATACCACTTAAGTTTGAATAAGGCGTCAGGTACCATTAAAGTCGCCAAAAGGTGCATCCGTCTAGTTTTCCATCCAACCCAAAACTTTAATTACCTTTTGGTACCCAAAAAATTTTAAAACATCAAAAACTATATTCAACAAGTATTATCAAATATAAAAATTAAAAAACCTTCTAAACATAGTATTACTAGAATGACTAATGAAATTTTTTCAATATAATAGATAACTTAGTAAAAATAATCAACGAATATCAAGAAATAATAATAAATATACTAGAAGATCTATTTAAATCCGTAATAAAATTAGAAGCACCAATAAAAACAGTTAAAATAGAACCTAGTCGACCGTCAATACATCAAGACTAAAGAAGATCTAGGAAAAAAATGACTATAGAAAGAGAATTACAATTAGTAAATTTAACTAATATGAAACATATACATAATATTAGAAAATTACAAGGAGATTTAATATAGAAAATTAGACAAGACCGACATGGTGTAAGAGAACTAAATATAACACTCAGATTATTTATATCGAGATAGAATTCACTGGATATATTTGTTTAAGTGAATCATTCAATTATTAGAACACATAATGATAATTGAAATTGAAAATATTTATAATGATAATTGATTCTAAATTTTTTTATTCAAAAATTGGTTTGGTATAAAAGAGAGTCTTCAAAAGATTATTCCAACTAAACAATAAAAAATGATGTTTTTCATAAGTCCAAAGGATTTCTTACAATAACAAAAATTGAAAGGACCAATTTTGAAATTTAGAAAACGAAATATTTCAAGAATATTCTTTCAATTGTAACAGAATGCACTTGATAGTAAACTTAAGTGGTACCGGGTGGACATATAATAAAGTTTAGTGGCACACGATACCCTATTTTTACTTAAGTGGTATAACTCCACCAATTCTCATACTTTAGTGGTACCCTAGCTATTTTACCTTTTGGTTAGCAAGTGTTGCACATTGATATGTACTTCTCCCGACCTTTATTTACCTTCGCACATAGGTGCCTTGATAGAAGCGGCATGTTGTTGATTACCCATGAAGCACAAAATACAAAGTGTCATGCACAATTTCAAAACTTTGAATCCCACAATGTGGCCAATAGCGCAACTACCCCCAATTTGCTGCCATTTAAATTGGTTACACTCAAGGATTGAAAATCCGTTACCGGAGGTCGTACCAGAAAAGTCAGCAATAAGGTATTTTATATTAAAACCGTGGTTTAACCATGGTTCAATCGTATTATACCGCTAAATACCGCTTATCAAATTTGCTTCCGGTAAGAGATTTTTCATTTTTCAAACCGAACCGCCGATACAATACGATATTTTAATCCTTGGATGTTGCTGCAACTTTAGTCCCTACAGGTATCGCTTCTAATATACATTATTATCACAAAGTGGAAAAGAATAATAGTAGCATATAAATATATTGGATGCAGGATGGGAACGGATCCAAACAGGTAAGGTTTCTAGGTTCGAATTCTATAGGTTTGTAATAATTACATGTTAGCTTTAGGTTTGTTTTTGGGTGGGGTATAAGACAGTTGCCAGAGCTGCTCTTTCTCTGTTATACACTCAACTTCAACACTAAACTACAAAACTTCCTAGGGCCTTGCCGGATCTGATGCATATCCACCCAAGGAACCAAACTTCAACCTGCAAATTACATGAAATCCAACACCTTCACTATCGCTGTCTAATTCTCCTGCTGGCAGAATTATCGCCACTCCCAGCCAAAGCATTCCCGGGACGATTGCGAGGATCACCACCAATTGCATTACAATTCTGGACGAGACTCGCTCCGACTATACAACATACTGCTGCAAAGGTGAAAACATTGGTCGTCTCATTCACTTCAATATTCTGATCATCATGTGCCTAGCAAACAACAAGAAGATAATTCTTCAGAAGAATGAAAGGGCCAGCATTTGGAATCACAGATAACGAGATACACTGGACAAAGAATAGGAATATGGTTTGCGACACCTAAGTCATCAAAATATATATGTTGAGACTTTCATTGGGGGCAGAACAGGGAGAAAGAAAAGGAGATGTGCATTGCGAAAAGTCCCGGTGTCCGAAATAAGCAACCGAAATGAAGGAAGTTGAAAATTGGAAAAATGCAGAAAAAACACCTCCCCTCCTATGAACCATTGGAGATTAAGAATTGGTCTGATTGAGAGATATGATACTGTCTAAACCAACCATCTTCTAGGTTAGTTCCCTCCAATAATTATCAAGTAGTGGTGATCCAAACAATCACAGTAAATTGAAGTGAGACGAGATGAAAGAACGTACCAGACTGATGACCATCACCGTGTTCACCTCCAGGACTTGAACTGGGCTTGCTCGTACTTGGCTGTGGTATTAGTTGATTCTGAGAATACAAGTCAGCATTAGGATACAATCAGCAGATACAACAAAGGCTGGGTGGGATTTACAAAGAGGAAGCAAAGAACCTTAGGGGACATGTCAAAGGGATTATATATATGCTTATGAACGCAAGTTCGCAGTTACAACCAATACATGCAGGACTGATAAATAGGGCGAGTGCTTTGACTCGTTAAGTGGACAAAGATTGATGGTCAGGTATTAACCCCGACATGAAAGTCTCAATAATTACACACAAATACCTGTGGCATTGGTATTGGCATCTGCATCTGGTGGAGACCAAGGAATTGCTGATAGGGATCAGGAAAGTTTGGAGGCCTTTGTTGGCCCAGGGTCGATGCGCCTAGTGTGCTTAGCATGGGATCTGACTGGTTTGCAACTTGAATTCGGGATGCATCAGGATGCAAGACAGGCGGCATCTGAAAGGCTGGCACAGGAAACCTCTGGCCCAAATGAGCTGCTGCTGACTGCAAGGATCCACCAGCCAAAACATTTGGAAATGGCATCATTGGCCGGTTCATTCCCATTTCCATTCCCATCCCCATACCCATCCCTATCCCCATAGGTGGCATGTATTGCTGGACGCCAGGAAACATCATAGGAACCATGCTGCATCCCATGGACATCATCTGCAGGAATTGATCACATTCTAACTTTTGTCATAGACGATGTGTGCATCCAAAATTATTATTGATTCAAATATGAACAGCAACGTATAACACACACACAAGCACAGAGAAAGAATCCTTAATCCTATGCGAAACAACCAATTCTTAATATTACATTAGTCTGAAAATGATGGATGTGGAAGAGGGCAGTATTAGTTAGTTGCTTCTCCAACAAATGCCCCATCCTTATCATTAAAGGTTTTTTAGCAGAAGCAGCAAAATTAATAATGAGCAACTTGTAGAAATCGATACACGAACAACATTCACAGACCTCTCTTTGGTTTCAATGTGTCAGGTTTGAACTAGTGTGGGAAACGGCAGTTACATGATGAATAGATGATGGAAACATGATATTCGGTTATGGGAATTTAGTTAAGTTAGTAGGTTGGCCGATTATCGTTTCGGGGTGAGAGTCTATAAATTGTTGGCTCGATCGATTATCAATCAATCAAAGAACTCAGTTTGCCCACTCCTCCTCTCAAAACTCTAATCCCTATTTTGTTCTTAATCTTTTCCCGATCAAGGGAACAAGTTGATTGAGCTGTTATGAGTCCACCACTATTTGATCTACACGTAGTTTGGAGACCGAGGTGACTAATCTAGATAGCCAAAACAAGACCATCAAATGATACAAGCAATACATACCTGTACTTGCAATTGAAGAGACTTCAAGTATTCAATCGCCTCATCCAGCATAGAAGCTTTGTCTGACTGCACATCGAAAGAAATAAAACAGAAGTTCACCGACTGGTTGACAAATGCCAACAGGGTAGGGGGGGATGATACTTATATACTATTAGAGACTACAACGAGAACACATATATCTATAATGGAAACCTTGTTGCAACGTGGTATAAGTTCTTGCAAGGCCCTCATCTTTTCGTTGATCCGATCTCTACGCCTCTGCAATAACAAAGTAACACAATCTCTCAACCATAGTCATAGTGAACGAACCAATTCACCAACTCCAACAGAAGGGTAGTTGGAAAATACACACCCTTTCAGAGAGGTTGTGAACCTCAGCAGCACGAGACCTCTTATTGGATGAAGTTGATCCGCGAGCTTGTTTCTTCACTTCCACAGATTCAAACTCAGCATCCTTCAATGTCAAAGCAGGGGTAACAATTGAATCAAGCAAACATGTAGAAAGTAGCACGGAATTCTAATTTCTACACGCAAATAATCAGCTTAACAGACCAAACTTATCCCCTCAAGCATCACTCAGCATGCAGAAACATATAATAATATCTGCAGACTAGATTCATTAGGAAAAATTTGCAGTATGAGATTTGTGACAGATAAAGTAAGCACATGCGATTATCACAACACTCATCGTCTGAGCGGATACTCTAGGAACTTCACCGCTTTAAAATCCAGCAGAGTGGTCCGGTTGCACAATTTCGAAAAAGGGTTGAATCGGTGGTCAAGTGCAGCTCCTTGCCTCGTCATGAATATAATAACATCCTCATTTTTCTCTTAACCAAAAAATGGACCACATCAGGTCCATCAAATGCACCCGCACAGAGAAGATCATCACAGACAGAACGCCCCATAACTTTGAGAGGAGCACACACGGCATATCTGAAGGCAGGGTATGAAAAGCAACAAAAAGAAAACAAGGACCGCTCTGCCAGGGGCAGCTTCTGTCAGGGTGGGCAGACATCAGGCAGCGCAGATATTTGGAAATGTGGCCACAAAAAAATTGTACATCCCGGAGTTGCATAACTATCCTACAACGTGCGCATACAGTCTAATCTATAGCCCCCAAACAACTTCTCTCCGGTCTGTAGAAGAAGAAAAAAAAAAAGATGTGCTCACCAGACCAAGGTTGTCACCCCGGTTTAGTTTGTTAGCTCGGTAAGACAAGTGATCGACTCTTATAGTCCGGATTAGTCTGGATATATGAAAAATATTTGCCTACATTTATAAATTTTATCAAATCTCATTTAACATATGAGTAATAACAGTTTCTACATGTTCAGGTTAACTCCGGACTCAAATAACATTACACCAAAATAATAGATCGTATTGGATCCAACATACAGTGAAGATTCAAACACTTATATAACATCAAATATTTAAATGTTCAACTTAAAAATTCCAAAAACAGGGTTAGGCAGTGAGGAAAACTGGAAAAAGCACATTTCGTGAATTAAAGGGGAAAATATGCTTTGTAACTTCTAACCCGAACCCGATAACTTTACAGTAAGTGGACTAGTGAATATGTGTAACCTATTTTTCACCGAATCAAATCAATCAACGGATCGACCCGCGGGTTAACAAGCTAGCAGCAGACCAGAGAACCGGAGGGCAGAAAATTGTTTTTTTAAAGGCGAAAGAAAAATCTACCGGGAATCGGTGCTCGCGTTTATCAAGGTCACACTGCCAGCGCACGATGGGCAGGAGAGGATAAAACGTGCTCCCTGTTTTTCTAATTAATGATAATATTAATAATAATAATAATAATATATTATCATCTCTATTATTTTAATTTAATAATCCCTAGAATTGGAATTCCCTTTAATCGAGCTTGTGCTTAATTTAATGATAGCAGATTGAGTTGGTTAGTGTTAACTGATAACTGATAACCACCTCTGCTTAACTCAGTAATTGCGATTTGCAAGAGACTCACCTCGCTGTGATACTCGCCCTCCTCCTCCCTCCCCTTCCGCTTCCTATCCTCCGTCCGCTGACTCTGAGTCGCCGGCACCGCGCTCGAGCTGGAGCCGCCGGGAGATGACGTCACCGTCATCTCGCAGGTCATCACGTCCTTAGTCGTCTTGGTGGAGGTCGAGGGACCCGCCGCCATCACTCCGTGCCCAGCGCCGCCGCTCACGCCAGCTGCCGACACGCTCAGGGTTCCGCCAAGATTGTCGCTGATCGAAGCGGCCACAAAGGCCTCCGAGACTCGAGAATTAAGCCGCAGCGCCGGGGTATCGCTCGAATCAACGACCGTGGATTCCCTCACCACCGTCTTCGAATTGGAAGGTCCCGATTCAGCCATGTTTCCCCTGACCGCGGCCGCTCTGTGCCTGGAGAAGTGCGCGAAGTTCTGAACCACATCAGGCTTCCTGGGGGGAGGAATCGGCGGCCTGGCAACTGCGGCCAAGTGCTGATTCTGCAAGGGGCGAACAGGAGGACCGCCGACGTTGGTCGTCGCTGAGGCGGTGCCTGTGGCGGCGGTGAGGGCGGCGGTGATGCAGGGGGCGGCTGGATAGAGGAGATCGGCGCAGAGGTCCTGATCAAAATTGGGTTCGTGGATGGGGTAATGAAGCCAGGAGGCCATCTCGTCCTCTTGCATAAACAGGTGGGGAGTAGGCAGAGAAGGATGGTCATGGAAAGACGGCCGGATCTCCTTGAACGCTGAGTGGTCGGCTGGATTCAGGCCGCCGCCGTCGTGTTTGGGGGATCTCTTGAGAGATCTCTGCGTTTGGCTCTGGACAACAACTTGGCCGTTCTGCCAGAGTAGCTCCATGATGTCGTCCTCAGACCTGCTAAACAAGTTTGAAGCCACCATATAAACAATCAAGTTGAAACCCAAGAGTCAGTCGGTCGAAGAATCTGAATCGGAGAGATGAACTAGGGATTGGAATCTAAGAAGGAAGTTAGGGGGGGGCCGGGAGTCTTACGCGGATGATTTCTTGAGGCCATTGAAGGCCGAAGAAGAAGGGATTCCATCGTCGTCCTCCATTTCGAAGACGGGAACAAAATGGTTCATTCTGTCTTCCAAAAAGGGGCAAAGCTGAGGAGGAAGTGAAAAGTAGAAAGAAACAGAGCAGGAGAAAGGGGTAGGGGTGAGTTGAGGAAAGAGAAAAAGGAGAAGGGCTGCTTGGCAACTGAACGATGACAAAACGCAACCGACTCAGGCTCAGAAGAGAAGAGAATGTCCATAAATGGCAATCAAATGGCCGCCATGGCCGAGAGATGCAGGCCAATTGTCAAATTCTGCCATCTCAAATTCCTAAAAGCTCTTGCAGCTCTATCATGCCGACATGCCCCTCTTCTTCTTTGGGATTTCTTTCTTTCTCACAGTTCAGACATCTCTGAAATTGAGAGTGGTTGGAAATGGAGAAAATTTTGTAGAGATTTTATCGCCAGAAGATTTTCTGTTGGCTGTTCTATTTTCGGTGGTTATATCTTTGTTTGCTTTCCCGTTTTCCTCTTTTTTGGCGATTGCTTGGCTTTAAAAGGCTAGATGTTTCCAGCTGCAGAGCCAAGAGGCCAAAGAAGGAGGGCCGCAAAGATAAGGGTCCCCTTATGCTCTCCACTCCAGTCACTAGTTACCTCTTCTTCTTCTTCTCTCTCTCTCCTAATAATGCCGAAGAGAAAGGGGACGAAATAGATTTTTGACGCTATGTCCTCAACGCCATGTACCCTCCCTTTCGCCGTAATTCGGCAATGAACGACTGCAATTCCGCTTGGTATAAAGCGCCCAATTTTGCTACGACGCTTAGGGGTGGGCAACGGGAAACGGGTATTTGGGTATACCCATACCCGTTCCGTTTTTTAAGGGTTACGGATATCTATATTACCCGTAATATTATAAATGGATGGGATTTGGGATTGTAGCCGCGGGTTACTTGCGAATAACCGTTTGGGTAATATGAGTACCCGTTATACCCATTCAATACAAATGCAGAAATTTAATTCAGCCCAACCCAATTCAAAATCCATTGGCCATTTCGGCCCTTACCGTTTCAATTTCAATTCCATTTGGGCCCTTACCCTTTCACTCTTTCACTGACATGTTTGGTGAATTAGTAGAGAGAGTTGGGATGTGTTGAATGAAACTTTTTTTTTTTTTATATAATTTGGTACTTGGAATGATTTATTTCTATGTGCTGTGATTGTTCATGAATGTGTAATTTGCAAACCAAGTATTTGTGATTGGGATGTATTTTGTGTCTTGTGATTGTTAAGCAAATACAAGTTAAGTTTAAACTTTTGTTAAAATTTTAGTGGTTTAAACTTTGGGTATTTATGGGTTAGTATGGGTACCCGTTATCCGTCTCGTACGGGTAATGGGTATCCGTTTCCCATATGGGTTTGGGATATAGGATGGACTTTGATCTCCAAATAGGACTGGGTACCCGTTTAAAACGGAACGGGTATCCCGTCCCGTTGCCCACCCTTAACGACGCTTTAACAAGTAGGGTGGAAATCAGCACGACTATTCTATTACCAAATACCAAATATCAATAGTGTATTAAACTCAATTTCAATCTCAAAATAAATTATATATCTCAATCTCAATTTCTAAAATTTTGTTAGCTATCGAATATATACCAAATATCAAATAATTCTCTTCACAATTATAAATTAAATATACAAATCCAAATACTTATCCTCTGCGGGCAGCTCCACAAACCATCCTCAAAAAATATAAAAAACAAACAATAAATTGAACACTCTTGCAAAACAAACGGAAAAACTCTCAAGTATATTAACAACAAACTCGAAAAATGTGTTGCATAAGAAGCACATTAACAAAGTAAAGCAAAAAAAAAAAACTGAAAAAGTGGACGATTAAACAACCTATAAACATACTATAAATAATAAAAATTATTTTGGTATGGGTTGCCAAATAGTGAGGAAATGAGCTATGTATAACTAAGTGACCATCTTAGAGGTTGAGGGTCTGATAGTAGTGAGTGAGGGAGACTAGTTGAGAGGGGATTAAGCACACACTAGTTTATTGGGGTGGGCAAGTGGGTGGTTAATCTGCGGGTTGATATCGATCCACCCGCAAATAACCTGAACTGCAGGCAGCGGGTGATTGATGTGGGTGGATTGCGGATTGATAAATCTCCTACCCGCACTTATGTGGGTGGGTGGTGGGTGGATTGCGGGTCACCCGAATGACCCGCACCATATATGCACATGAAAATGTGATTTCTTATACTATCGAATATTCAACACATTTTCTAACTGCACTACACACTAACTATCTACTTCCAAAAGTGGAGAATAACTAAAAGTGGAGAATAAAGAATAGTTTTGGACTACTATTATTGGTTATTGTGTTGTGTAATATCCATTAGATATTAGGATACAAATTATAAACTATTAATTGTATCATATTCTCAAAGTGTGCCAACTTTACAATTGGTTGATAGAGTATTAAAATTATTATGCAACATGGATTCACATGAGACAAAGTGAGAAGTGTCTAAATTGATACGGCCTTACAAATTTGCTAGGAACTTAAAAGTTAATAAACTTTCTTAATGCTAGTTGGAGAATTGCTTTTGCGACATAACCCACAACACAACCGCACATCCATCCAATCCGAAAAAGAATGTGTGTGGGTGGGGGGAGGGGGGTTAGATTGATGCTTATGCATTTGGTATAACCCAAATACCATTATGCATGTTAATCTACATAGAAGAGGCGTTGAATGATTTATTTCGTACCTGGAAGTTATCGATCGAGAGCCTCAAAGATTGCCTCAAGGGCTGTTTAGTGACTTGGAGATGAAGGCATAGTTTCTTTCCTCATTTGATTCAGATTAGTATTCCTTTTATGTTTAAGCTTAGTTTTTCGAGCTCTAATTTAATTAGGAAGTTCTTGGTCTATTGCAAACCTAGCTAGCTATTTAAACACTCGGCCAATGCTTTGTAAAGGCAGTTTTTTATAGTTATTGAAGAACCTTATTTATAGAGTTTCCTATCTTTAATTGACCTTGTTGAGTGGATTGAATTCCAGCAACGAGCGAACTCAACATTGATTGATTTACCACATCAATCGTGGATGAGTTGCTACCCTATTTGGATCGAGCCTCTTCCCCAAAATTGGTGTTGAAGTTGCACCTTCCAACTCCATCGTTTACCATATTATTTTCCTTCTCTGCAGTTTTTATATAACAAGCTTGGAGGTTTATATTTTGAATGCTCTGATCATCAAGCTTCAAGAGTTGGAGCTTATCAAGTGGTATCAGTAGTCTTGGTTCGACACAGTGGATAAGACAAAGACAACATCAAAGGCGGCATTACCTGTTACTGCAAGGACGCGCGCGAAATATCCTATTACGAATAGAACACAAGAGCAGAGCTCGTCTTCCACCACCGAGCAAGACAACAACGAACCCGAGATGGCCGAACAACAGGTCAACATGGTTGAGCTTCTGCAGACTCTTACTGCCCATCTTAATGTCACGTTCTATACCCAATTCGATCAGCTTAATTGTCGATTCGATTCTATGAGTTACCTTGATTGGGAAAGAAAGATGATTCTTTTCTTTCAGTGCAGACAATATACAGAGGAACAGAAGGTACAACTCGCTACGTAAGAATTCTCGGATTATGCAGCAATGTGGTGGGAGAAGACTCAGCTACGAAGGAGGCAAAATTTATAGCCTCCAAACACAACCTGGGAAGAGCTGCGAGGCTTGATGATAGACAGATTCATACCTGTATACTATTAGCATGAATTGTTTGACGCTTTGCAGGGCATTCGAAAGGGACTCGCTCTGTGGATGAGTATTTTAAAGAACTCGAACTGCTGATGTTGCGCGCCGATATTCGTGAAGAGAGAGAAGCCACGATTTCTCGATTCCTCCATGCCCTCAATCGAGACATTAGGAACGAGATCGAGCTTTGGCAGTTCGTAGAACTTGAGGAGGTATTTCATCTTGCAATCAAGGTGGGAAAACAAAAGCAATTAAGTGCGGCAAAGAGATATTGAGCTTCGAAACCGGTCTCGAAACATCCACATTTGGCCAATGTCGAGCAAAACAGGGTGGACGGAGCCAAACTAGCGCCGACACTACTGCTCCGGTCAATTACGAGAAGCCTGGAGGGTTGACAAGCAGCATTCAGTGCTTTAAGAGTTCCGGAAGAGGCCACAAGGCCAGCCAGTGCCCAAATAAGAAGGCCTTAGTGCTTCTCGATGGTGAATACGTCTCAGAAGACGAAGAAGAGGAGACCAGAGACGACAAGCTTGATTCTGATTCTGACGTTGACGAATCTATTGAGGCAGAACACCCTCCTGGTAAGTTTCTCGGGGTGAATGGACGATTGCTTACCATGGACTCTCGAGCTGAAGAAGAACATCGGGTCCATCTGTTTCACACCTGTTGCACAGTTGAAGGAAAATTACTCTCCATTGTAATCGACGGAGGTAGTTGCAAAAACGTTATTAGCCTTGACGCTGTTAAAAGGCTCGGGTTAGGAACGATCAAACACTCCAAGCCTTACAGTCTACATTGGCTGAATGAATATGATACCCTTAAAGTGAATAAGCAGACTAAATTTCGTTTCAAAATCTGCGACTACGATGATGAGTTATGGTGTGACGTAGCCCCCAATGCAGGCAGCCCATCTTCTACTCGGACGGCCATGGCAGTATGATCGAAGGGTCACTCACGAGGGACGAGAAAATTGTTACCGATTCAGGTACGGGGATTGCAAATTCCTTCTTAAACCGCTATCTCCGGCAGAGGTCCGAGCCGATCAGCAGCAGATGTAGGTGAAGCGGAGCAAGGCCAAGGATGACTATGATGGTTTGAAGAATGGAACGAGCAATGAAACTGGTTTGTTGGTTCAAAGATTTATGCTTACATCTCTAAGGAGAGTAGAGCTCCATCGGTCGCTAGCGAGATGGTTGCTCTGTCCTTCGACGACAGGACAGGGAAAAGAGAGAATGAAGTAGTCGTGCCACTGGGGAATGAGTCGAGACTCTCCGTCGACGCTGGTACATTCTTCCCGACCCTGGGAACGTCACCAGTAGCTCTAATGGAAGAAGACTTGCCTGCAATTGCAACTTTAAATTCTCCGGAAGCACCTCTGTTTGTGACGAAGAAGGACGACCAAGACCCCCTTCTTGTGTGGGGTCCTCCAACTCGATTCGAGTCGCATTCGTTCTGCAGAACCATCAAAGGAGTTATTGGGAAGGTGTAGGTACACTCAATTCGATTCGATGATTGTTAAATTAAAAACGCCCAAAATCGAATGGGTATCCTGGTTTTCGGAAGTTCGAAAGTGAACAATGGCGGGAAACGACGAGGAGATGGTTCGACACAAATGATGATGATTCGAGACGAAGGGCTACTTCAGAAATTCGATTGGGGGTATGGAGAACCTCGTGGGAGGAATGATTTATCCTGGAACTCCCTAAATCCAAAAGGGCCAATTTCGTTGATGAAGAACACTGCCTTAATTTTGCAGAAATTGGAGTTTGAGCAGCCATCTTTCGATCCAATTTGGGATCAGTTCTGTGACAATTTTGAATAGAAGAAGGAGTTAGATTTGAGGACAAAGCTTTTTGAAGAGGGGAAGCCTAATACAACCCTGGACTGCTTCATTTCCAAGCTAGAATTACTTGTCCAATAAGC